AAGTGCAAGTGGCACGTCCATGCCAACTCCTGTGATTTGGTTGGACTATAGCCTAACAGTGGTAGCTAAGAGCATGTATCTTGAAGCTGGATAGACTCAGTTCAAATCCTAGCTCTATCATTTAAAGAGATGACAATCTTAGACAAGTCACTTAAATCTCTCTGACTCTGAGTTCCGTCCTCTGCAAAATGAGAATGATAGTAATAGTATTATTTTCAATGGCAAAAACCACAATTACTTTTGCACCAGCCTAAGACTTCATAGGGAAGATCAATTTCAAGATTAAATGAGATGATGCTTAGACTAGTACATAGTAAGTTAGGACAAATACTGTCATTATTACTGTGAATATTATTGTTGTTGTTATTACTATGCAATGGGGAAAACTGGGAGATGATGCTATAAATGTAGTTTATGGTTAGAAAGAAGGAGACAAGACAGAGGTACTGGTTCCCTGGGCCATGGCTACATCAGAGTTGCAAGTCTGGGGGCAGGTAAGGGTGGGGATAACATCAGAGGTTCTGTTTCAAGTTTTCAGAGTAGCTTGCCACCTCCCAGGGTTCCCACTGGGGAGACCTAATCAAGGCCATTGAACCAGCCAGCCCAGCTCCAGTGCACTCACCCCAGAGGCCTACCCACCGGCAGCAGCCTGGGCCGGGCGGATTGAGGACTGGGCTGGCAGCAGATGAGCTCATGCCCATAGGCCTGGCCAACAAGGCTGGATGCTTCTGCTGGCAAGAGCCTGTCAAAACTGCCGGCTGGGGGTCAGGATGAGCTGGAGAGCCCGGTGGTGCCCAGATGCCTATGGCCAGCAGGTCTGCTGAGTGTTTGATTACATTCCCGGGCACCCCAGGCAATGCCAGGGCTGGCCGTTCCCACTCCTGCTGAGTTCCGTCTGTCAGACACAGAGCTGCCATCCCAAGCCCGGCCCCCACGGCCCACCTACCTTCCACCTTCTGCTTCTCCTTTTCGGCAGCAGCCCTGGCTGCAGAGCCAGGTGGCCTCATCCCCCGATGACTTCATCCTCCTTAAAGGCATCATGTCCCTTTGACAGTCGTGCCTCTAGAGGCTTTCCTGTCCACAGACCAGGCTTCAGGGTCTCTGCTTTGTTCTTGCCTCCCAGCTCCACTCTCATCCTTCTATGTGCCCTTCCCCAAGGAGAATGCAGTGTAAAGGAAGGGGCCTCAACCTGGAAAAGCAGTTTGCATTTCATAGTCACTGAACGTGTTGCAATGTAACCAGTCCATCAGCCAAGTGTCCCCAGTGGGCTGAATCCTCTCTTGAGACTGGTCTTCTAAGGTGAACGACACTCACTTGGCACCTACCCTGTGTATGCGGCACATGCGGTGCGGTCATGCAGCAGTTCTCTCAACTAGGGTGACCAGTCATTCTGGTTTTCTTGGGACTGTCACAGTTATTGAAAGTCCTGCATCCTGGGAAACCCCTCAGTCCCAGGCCAACTGGGACGGTTGGTCAGCCAACCCGGTACCTGCGTCTGTGACATGCTGCCTCTGATGATGTGTTGGATTTTCACTGAACAAATCTGAGCCTTTAGCCCGCCCCAGAAGGAGTCAAGGGGATTCAGTCTTAAAAATTAAAATAATACTGTCTATGCTTCCGGACTTTATGGGCACCCTGAAATCTGCTGCCTGGTGAGAGTGTCCTCTGCTCCATCCCCTCATTTACATCACTGCTCATTAGGTTAGTGTGACCGTATTGCTCTAGAAAGAAGAGCCAAGGAGGGAGGGAGAAAGAGCTTACCTGTTTCATAAGGAAGAAGACAACTTTCCCCAGGCAAATAGGGGAAATGGACATGACTCTTTTCTAGTTATTTCTTTAGAAAACTACAACACCCCAGTAAAAACTTTAGAACTCTAGAATGTTAGAGCTGGATATTAAAGATCAGCATTCAACACCTCCTTCACTGAGAGAGGGATGCTGAGGTCCAGGGAGGTGATTCAGAATCAGTTACAAACACTGATGCCTGGGCCCCACCCACAGGGAGTCTGATGTAACTGGTTTGGATCCAGGGCCTGGGCTTTCCAGGTGATGCCAATATGCAGCCTTGGTTGAGAACCACTGAGTTAGACACAGACCCATCCCTGAGGAACTTCAAATAGAGTAGGGAGGGAGTTAAAGTGAAGAGAGGCACACGCAAGGGCCAGAGTCACACAGGGGGTCTCGCCAGAGGGTTGTGAGGAGAGGGGAGACCTAGGCAGTGCACAAAATGCTGGGTTAAGGGCTTCAGACAGACCGGGGCTTGATCTTAGCTTAGTCTAGACCAGCGACCTTGGCCAAGTAATTAAAGCTTTTCTGAGCTTCAGTTTCTTCATCTGAAACACAGAGAATGATAATAGCACCTAATCCACTGTGGTGGTGTTCAGAGAAATGAGATGATTCACGTAGAGTCCTGAGATGCGTGCCAACATAAAGATGAACTGTTATTATTATTATTATTATTGTTATTACTTCTTGCTCAGGTCAGGGGCTTGGTCAGGCTGTCTGACAAAGGGGAGTGGAAGATGAGCTATACTACGACAGAGCAGTACATTTCAGCAGGAAGAGAGAGAATGAGAAGCTTCTGAGCATGCTTGGAGGGCACTAGGAGTCAATTTCCCTGGTGCACAGGAGGCTGGAGGCCTGAAGGCCCATCAGAAAGGTCCTGGGGCCAGAGGGAGAAAAACCAGGAGTGGGTCAGGAGAGTGGTAAAGGAACTGGGGAGAAGGGGGTGGACGCTGGCAGCCTTATGAGGCTCTGCAATTTATCCCGATACCCATCTCCCCCTCCTGCGACAGGCTGCAGATAGTCCCTGTACTGGACAGGCTGGAGCCCAGCCTTGGCCCCAGTGAGGGCCCCCGAGGGAAGACAGTCGCCTGCCACTCTGCACATGACTAATCAAAGGGCCTGTGGGGCTGCCCTGCTACTCTCCCTCTGGTTAATGCCTAATCGGACCAAACTTGGAGACTTGGGTGGCAATCAGCCAAGTGGATAATTGCTTAGGTTAGCCTTGATCACAGGCTACCTGGGAGTCGATCACAGTAGCTCCCCTCACGCTGCAACTCTCTGGGTCTCTCATCCAGGGCAGAGGCAGCCTGTAGGAGGGAAGCCGCAGAGAATCCTGCTGGTGGGGATTCCCTCTGGACATCTTGAGCGACACACCGTAGCAGCCTGCTTGATGCCTGTGGTCATTCTGGATGCTGGTGACATGTCCCTGAAGGCACGACTCACAGTGGCTGCAGCAGCTGCATGAATGAACTCACACTGAGAGCCAGGAAATAGCAAAAAGCCCCATTGCTCCTGTATAAGCAACAAGACCAGAACCTTCATGGTTTCGCTAATCCATAGGGTCCAGCTTAAACATCTAGACATCCAAGTCCTAGCCATAGTACCAGGCCTCAGTTTTGTCACATGGCAGGAGAAACAGATCTGCTCCGAGTGGTCCCAGTGCTGCTGTGACCCCATTTAACAAATGTGGAGACAGAGACTTAGCAAATTTAAGTCATTTGCCTTGGGACACGTAGCTTATAAAAGTAACATTAACAACGATATGAATAATTCTTATTTATTAACCGGGTGGAAGGGTGGCTGCTCAGCTGAACATCAACTGGCATTGCTAAGAGTTCAGACTGATTGCTGGGAGGGTGATAAGCTCCTTGTAATTAGAGGCATGCAAGCAAAGCCTCACTTACTTGCCAGGAATGTTGGAGAGGGGCTTCAAGATCTAGGGGAGGCTGGGATTGGACTGAATGGCTGCAGAGTTGTTTTCAGCTTTGTGGGGCAGGAACTATTTCATTTACCTCTGTGTCTCCAGGGCCCGGTACGGTGTCTGGGAAAAGGTAGACATGGGGCCTCACCTGTGTATGAACATGCAAAACCAGCAAACAAATGTATCCTATAACTAAAAAAGAGGCAGCAGGGGACAGGATAGCTAATTCTTGTGTAACTCTTCTTCCCTTCTTTTAAAACACTGGTTCTCAACACAGTGGAATCATCTGGGGAGCCAGAACAGAGAGGCACCTCATAAAATGCGTGAAAGCCAAGGCATCCTGCACCCCAGTGAATCGTCACGCACTGTGCTCTGTGCTGCACACACAATCGGTCTCATTAATCTGTACAACCTTATGAAGCAGGTATTCTTGTTACCCCCATTTTATAGATGGGGAGCCCAAACTTAGAGAGGTTAAGTCAGGTGTGGGGAAGTCACAGATGAAAACAATAAGAATAAGAATTACCTTTTATGGGGGACTTTCTCAGCTGAGTCCTTACTGGTTTCTTAGCAACCTTTATCTCATTTAATTCTCATAACAACCTTATGAGGTAGGAGCTATTATTATCCATCTTTTCAGAAAAGGAAACTGAGGCTCAGACTAGGTAACTCACCCAAGCTTACTGAGATAGTAGCTGGCACTGTCAGGGTTTTGAACCAGATCTGGTCGGCTCCAAAGCCTTGGGGAAGAAGGGCTGTAGTTGTTAGTCTCAGATCTGGAGCGTGGAAGAGTGGAGAGAATGCTGTTCTGAGAGCCAAGTGACCTTTTCCAGTTGCCTCGTGGTCTCTGTGTGACCTGGGGCAGTACTACCTGGCCAGGGCCTCAGTTTATCCCTCGGTGAAACCAAGAAGGGAGGTAGAGATGGGCCTGATTTCTCAGCTCCTTTCCAGCCGTCATTTTCCATGACTCGATTCCCCACCGTGAGTTCTGGGCCAAAAACCAGTTGGCTTCCTCCCTCCCTCTCCGTGAGTCGGAGAGCTGGCAGGAGGGGATGATCCGCCTCAATTCTCCCACCTCCTTTTTCCTCCTCCTCCTCCTGGGCTGGGACACACCTACTCCAACTTTCTCAGCAGCCTCTCCAGCTACGGGCTGCTCGCCTTCCTGCTCCGAGTCTCTGCACCTCCCTCCGGAGCCTGTCAGCCTGGCCCTCGTGAGTGGGGCGCCAGCCCAGCAGCCCACTGTGGGGCACCCTCCCCTACCTGAAGGGCACAGGTAAGAACTGCTGGAGGATTGGAAGATGCGGGAGGGGGCGGCAAAGTTAATCCATTCTTGAATCTGGTTCCAAAGCAGGCTGGAGTTGGGGGCTTCTGGAAGGTAGAGAAGGAACCAGGAGATGGCTAGAGCAGGCACAGAGAGGGAGGACAGGGACATCTGGGCCTGGATCATCCAGGTACACTGAAAGAAGCCAGTGAGGAAGCCAGCCCATGGCTGGGGATCGGGGCCCAGGAATGGACAAGGCTGGGACTATGATCTTGTGGAGGAGGAAGGTCATATTTGCACGTGTGGGAAGTTGGGTTCTTGTCCTGGAAGAATGAAATCCCCCACTTGGGCTTTCTGGAGATAAGCCTTTAAGAGGGCATGGGGGAGATTTCCTCTGTAGTTGTACGGGTAGTGCCAGCACCAGGAATTGAGAGGCACTGGTTTCTTGTGTGTGTCCAGGTGGGCACAGGAACCTTATCACAGAAAAAGCTACCTGGTGGCTAAGGGCAAGTCAGATAGTCTGGCCAGCCCTGGCTCTCCTGCAGCTGCTGAGATTAGAACCTCAGCTTCCCTGACCATAGAATGGGGGGACATGCAGTCTTTAAGAACTGTGAAAGGCTGTGAGTCTGAGTGGCACCAAGGCAGCACTGGAGTTGTTGGGGCGGGAACAGCCCTGTTCCTCTGTCTTGGGGAAAGCAGAAATCTGATGCATATCTCCGGAGGCAGGAGAGCCAAAGTGGAACGCTGAGCAGAGCCACTGGGCTAGAGTTCAGTTCTCAGAGTGGGTGCAGTGCCATTTGTCACAGCATGGGGAGCAGTGAGGCAGTGCAAAGGTTTGCCAAGGGCTCAGAAAGACTGCCTCTGTGCCCAGCCTCAATCTGGAGCTGGTGCCTGGACTCAGGGCAGAAGAGAAGGTGGAGGAACAGGCTAGGAGGTAGGTGTTTCTAGCCCTTCAGCCCTGTTTTCCAGGTGGGGAGCAGAGACTGGACAGGTGAACATGCCTTGCTTATGGGACTCTACTGAGAGTTATTACAGCTTATGCTCATTGACTGCTTCGTGTGTTCTGGGGACTATGCTGAGCATGTCTTTTGGTATTTTCGAGGTTTCAAATCCAGGCAGTGGGGCAGAGTGAGAAGAGAATTTCACTAATCATATCTCTGTGACTCACAGGCTGTGTGGCCTAGGACAGTTTCCTACCTCTCTGGGCCGATGTCTCGACATATAAAAAAAGGCAGTTGGATGTTTGTTAAGATCCCTTCCTCCCTTAATTTATTTATTAAATATTTATTTATTTTGAGACAGTGTCTCTCTCTGTCACCCAGGCTGGAGTAGAGTGGCATTATCATGGCTTACTACAGCTTCCACCTCCTGGGCCCAAACGATCCTCCCACCTCACCCTCGTGAGTAGCTAGGACCACAGACACACACCACCACAACTGGCTAATATTTTTAAAAAATTGTTTTTTGTAGAGATGGGGTTTCACTATGTTGCCCAGGTTGGTCTTGAACTCTCAGAGTTAAGCAATCTTTCCACCTCAGCCTGTAAAGTGCTAGGATTACAGGCGTGAGCCTCCACACCCAGCCAAGATCCCTTCTGAATCTATTCTGTTGGGTAGACAGAGCAGGAGTGATTGTCTCCATCTTGCTGATGAGGAACCTTAAGAGGCTCAATATTCCATGTCCATGTGAGAGGCAAACTAGGGTCTTCCCCCAGGGCTCCCCATAGACTACATGTTAGACTCCTTGCAGGAAGATGCTGAATCCATGATGTCAGCTAGCCTGATGCGCAGCTCCCTGCATACTCTGCCCTAAGTGCGACTGAAGTCACCTTGGCCTGGAGGTTCTCCTTTCAGATGCTCTGTGACAGGCTGTGGTACTGTCCTGGTGCTGGCCAGGTAAGACCAGGTGGGAGAGGCTGGCACTAAGGTGGGGTCAGGCAGGCACTAAGCCTTAGAGACAGCCTGTGTGTGTCTGAGGGAGATAGAGTTGGTACAGTTGGGGACCTTCCTGCATCCCCTAGATGAACCCTGTCTTTTGGATTCATTTTAGGAGGCAATGGACGTGACCTCTAAAAGCCTCCTATGATCCCTGGGCCCCTAGAATGCAAACTGAGCTAGCTCAGAACCTCAATACTAGTATTTCTAGGACTAATAATACTAATACTCACATTTATGATGGAGGTTTATACACAGGTTTACAAAGTAAAGTGTGGGTCCAACTCCTGGTTATTAGCCATGTGACCTAGGCCTCAACTTCTCTAAAAAATTCAGGCTCCTCATTTGAAAAATGGGGATCATCACAGTTCTTTCCACAGAGAATCAATGTGAGAAATGAGGGGGTGCATGGAAGGGAACGCAGGAAATGCCTAAGGCCTTCTTTATTATGTTCACACTCATCAAATAATGGATTCTTCTCTCTTCCTCCCGGAGTGGGTATCATCTCACAGCACCTTGAAGTGTTCCTTCCTAAGACTGATCACAACTATAATTATTGATTATTTGTGTCATTTTTAAAAATATTGGCTCTCCTACTAAGATAAGCCATGGGTCTGTCTTGCTCACTGCCCTGGCGCCTGGATCCAGCACAGTGCCTGGCACATAAAAAAAGCCCATTGCCTATCTGCTGAATGAATCTTCATTTTGAACTCATAGATAAGAACTGCTGCTTACTGGAGGACTAAGTATTAGCCCCAACCCAGTCACAGATACAGTTGAGTGGAAGGGCCCTTAGAGATCACTGAGTCAGACAGATGGTAATGGTGAGGCCTCACCAGGGAAGTCTGGTAACTTGGCTGAGGCCACACAGCAGTGGGGAAAGCCAGACCACTATGCAGATCTTTGACTTGCCTCTGCCTCATTCTGCCTTGCCCAGTTCAGGAGGTGTTCCTGTTTTTTATGTGAGTGACAGGTCAGCCTTGAAGGCGGGTGAATGGCTCCCACGTCCTCCGGAGGCAATGTGGGATCAGCAATGAGGGTGATCTCTAGATTGTGAGCTGCCCTCCAGGGGACAAAAACGTCATCAATAAGACCCCTCTCTCAACATACACCAACACACACATACACACTCATACACAGACACACACACACACGCACATACATCACTTCATCACTATTTCCAGTGAGTCAGCATATCGCTGTAACTGTACAACTGGAAGAACCATTGGGAATTCTCTGAAGTCTCCCTTGAAAAATCATTGCTCCCATTTTATAGATGGAACCATAGCTTTTGAACTATTTGCTAAAGTCACATAGCCAGTTTGCCTGGGCTGGCATGCACTCAACAGTGAGCTATTTGTGAGCATGGGACTTAAACAGTGAAGAGAGAATTCTCAATGACTCAACCCCTCTATGCGCAGGTCAGCAGGTTAGACCTGCGAATAGAGGGGCTAAGTCATTGCGAATTTCACAATTCCCTTTCACAAACCCCTTCTCTCCTACTCTGCACAGCTGCCCACATCACCCTATTCTGCTTCTTGTTGTTGTCATTGTTTTCAGTGTGGAGATGGTGAATAGACTCAGAAAGGTTAATCCCTGCAAGACGCATGGTTCTGTTACCTTAATAGACACTTAATCAGCACTTACAATGTGTCAGGCCCCCAGAGACTCACATCTGGTGAAGGCAGGGCCATAAATGGGTGGTTTAATACCTCGAGGTAGGTAGTAAAAACACACGCAAACTCAGGCTGGCATGGGGACCCAGAGGAGTGACAGTAGCTGGGTTATAGATTCAATGAAGTTCTTGGAGGAGTTGGCACTGAACATCATCAGTTTTAAAGGCTGAATGAGAGTTAAACAAGGAAAGAAAAGTGGGGAAGGCATTTAACAGAGGGAAAATAACATATGCAAAGGCACAGCAGTTAAAACAGCAGATGTGTGCAGGAACCTATAAACCGGGTGGGGAACATCTGGAGACATGATCTGAGAGATAGGTTGGGCCAGATCATTGAAGGTGATCTTTTTTGTGTGTGTCAGGCCAAGGAGCACGGCCTTTTCAAAAAAAATGTCACTTATATGTAATATACTATTGAAGGAAAATTATATACATACACAAAAGTAAACAGAATGGTGTACAGAAGCCCTATCACCCAGCCCCAACAATTATGTTTGTTTTGTGGAGGTTTTGGGTGTTTTTTTTTTGAGATGGAGTCTTGCTCTGTTGCCCAGTTTGGAAAGCAGTGACATGCTGTACCATCCACCTCCTGGGTTCAAGTGATTCTTATGCCTCAGCCTCCCGAGTAGCTGGGGCTACAGGCATGTGACATCACGCCCAGCTAGTTTTTGTATTTTTAGTAGAGACAGGGTTTCACCATGTTGCCCAGGCTGGTCTCCAACTTCTGACCTCAAGTAATCCGCCTGTCTTGACCTCCCCAAGTGCTGGGATTACAAGTGTGAGGCAGCACGCCCGGCCTGAGCCACCACCTGTTCAAAAATTACATTTCCTCTATACCTCCACCAACTCTTCCCCTATCAGATTATCTTGAAGCAAAGTCCCAGATATATAATTGCACCTGAAAATATCTCCATATATTTCTTTAAAGTAGAATGAATTAAGAAAGTAATTTCAGGAGCATGTCTTTATTTTATAAACGTTGGGGGACTGTTAAAGGAGTTTAAGTCAGAGTGCTTTGGCTAGGTAGATCTGTCTGCTTGAGAGGTGGAACACTAATTTAAGGAAAGGAGTCAGATTAGAAGGCTAATATCTCCTGTTTTTTCCCCCTTGGTTGATCATAGTGCCTGAGATTCCACCACTGCCCATTGATTAACAAATTATCTTCTAAAATCCATCTCTTCCTGAAAGGGGCAACGTAATAAGCATTTGCCAGTTTGGAGTCTGCAGAAGAGAGAAATCCCCCCTTACCCCCTTTTCTGTTCATGGGCAGCCCCTGTAAGACCACCTGAGGCAGCAGGAAAATGCCATCTATCCTTCCACTGACTGGGGGCAGGGAGCTCACAGAGGAGAATTCTCTGGTTCCCATTTGGCTCCAGTGCCCGCAGCAGTTGGCCTGGGCACAAGCCAAGCAGGATGAAACACGCCAGTGGTGCAGTAATGTCAGCATGTGTGCACGCGTTGGCCTGCATGTGCTCACGTGTCTAGTGTCAGAGCTGCTGCCTATCCCTGCAGCATCCTCTGCCCTCAGGGTCTTCCCAACAAATGCAAGGCTCAATGGTGCAAAACGTCTCATTTTGGACACTTGGAAGCTTAGCCTGAGGGAGCGGTAGAGATTGATATCAGTAGGGCACGTGAGCTGTGGATCCGGGGTGCTCGAGTTCCAGTCCTGGCCTTAACACTTTCCGTCTCTGCTACCTTAATACATGATTGCACGTTTCTGGGAGTTGTATAATGCTGTCTACCGCACAGAGCTGCTGAGAGTTGATGCGTGTAGAGTGTTTAGTGTAGCCAGAACAAGCTAAGAGCTCCCTAAATGTTAGTTACTATTATAGATTTAGGGGCTCCTGAAGTCTTGGGAATTGACTCAGAGGATCATAACATCTTGAAAAATTCCTAGAATCTCAACTCTTGGAAGTGTACATTACAGAACCCTATTGGATCCCTGGTATACTCTCTACTCTGTCCTGGTAGTGTCTGACAAATTCAAAAACAGAGTGCATAAATTGTAAGTTACAGCTGAAATTTTTTTTTCTTGGGATGGAATCTTGCTCTATTGCCCAGGCTGGAGTGCAATTATGTGATCTTGGCTCATTGCAACCTCCGCCTCCCAGATTCAAGTGATTTTCCTGCCTCAGATTCCCCAGTAGCTGGAATTACAGGCATGTGCCATCATGCCTGGCTAATTTGGCATTTTTAGTAGAGATGGAGTATCACCATGTTGGTCAGGCTGGTCTCGAACTCCTGACCTTAACTGATCCACCTGCCTCGGCCTCTCAAAGTGCTTGGATTACAGGCATGAGCCACCATGCCTGTCCACAGCTGATA